GGCCTGATGGGGCTGGATCCCTTCCCTGTGGGAAACCATGAAGGGAAGGACCTTCTGTGCCTTTTCCTGAGTTGCTGGTGGCCAAAATCCAACTTTGCTCTTGAGTATCTTCACTGTCCGTCCCCAGCTGGGGGCAGAATGTTGCCATGAGAAGGTTTTGTTCTTATCACACCATTTTCTTGGGAAGAATGCAAAAAAAACCCAGTCCCCACAGACACCATGTAGGGATTCACCTACTTGGCTCTTTGCAGCTCAGCGGGGCTGAGGAGCCCTGCAACCACCTCTCCCCTCACTCCAAACATTCCAAGGGCTTTGCTTGGGGCCTTCCCGTGCCCAGGATACCTCTGGGTGCAGCTCAGGGGAGGAGAGGGAGGAACTGAGTTCCAAGGCTCTGCAGGTTTGCTGGGACAAGTGAACAAAGAGGCACCTGAGCAGAGTGATGTGGGGGGACCTGCAGCTGAGGCAGAGCATTAAAAGCAGGGCAAAGAGCACAGAAGAGTTGCTTCCTCCCTTGCTCCTAGGACAGTCATGTTGCAGGTCCTTGCTGGTGCTGGGCTTGGCTAGGAGCTGGAGGGATCGGGACCCTGGTCCTGGTGGGCGTCATGAGATGGCTGCTGCAGGGACAAAGTGAGTCATCCAAAATGGGGAAATTCCCCCTGAATCCATCACAGCCCAGCTCCAGGCAGGAGCTGGAGCAGATTCCTCCTGTATTTCCAGCAGAGAGCAGCTCCTGGGCAGTGTCAATCCCTGATGGGCAGGAGGAGAAAGCTACCAACAGGGGCTGATTGATGTGATTTTGGAGTCTGATCTGCTGCAGGTCCCTCTCTTCACCCTGATGGTTGTTGCAAAGACTCCAGGGGTCCCCTCATAGATCCATGTTCCCAGGGAGCCCCTCACTCCATCCCCGAGTGTGACCCAATATGGCAGAGCAACAACTGCAGGTGAAACCTACCCTCATTTCAGGAGTAAAGGGTGAAAATCCACCTGTGTTCCAGGAGGAAAGGATCAAACCCGCTCTCATTTTAGGTGGAGACAGCCCCATGCTGAGCCAGGACATGGAGTACGTGCTCCTGGGGAACCTGCTTGACCAACTCCAGCTGACAGAACATTCTGGAGTTCAGCTGCTCCCTGGATTGCTTCCAGCAGCGGCTGAGGAAGCGGCTGTGTGAGGAAGGAAGTTACCATTTACCAGGCGCCACAGTCCAGCATCACCCACATTTTTGGGGCTATGGATAGACACCCAACCTCATTTGGGAAGTTGCAGCGTTGTTGTCTCTTTTCCATGTAGAAGAGAGACAAGTCCAGGAACATTTTGGAAAGCACCCTGAACTCCCCCAGTGGTCCCAGTTGTTATCCCCATGCCCTGCATGTGACCATAATAAACTCAGTTTCAAAAATCTCCTCCCAGTCTCCATGAGCACATATTTAAGCAGCACCAGGAAGCTGATCCCAGTCTCTGTGAGCTCCACTGTGAGGGTGAGTACTGAAAAGCACCTTCTGGGCTGTAAAACTCGGGACTGATGGAGTCGGCACCGACCGGAGCGATGCCAGGGCTGGGACAGGGCTGAGCACCCAGGTCACGGTCTTGTCTTTGGGGGGGCTGAAGTAACCACCTGATTAATTAAATGTGGCACATTGAAGGGAAGGAGGAATAAACCCCCAAAATCATTACTTTACAGCTGGTTTTAGTGAGGCTTTTGCCACCACAGGTTCGGTTTGAGTGTCTAGAGGTGGGGTTTTGATGGTTTGTAATTTGTTTTGCCTTGCAAGTACTTTTCAGTGATTTTGTTGGGGTTTTTTCAGCCCTGTGTAGCTGACAGGTTTGTTCATCATGAATGGAATTGAGAAAATCATGATGAAAAGAGACAAATAACAATACAATAAAAAGGACTTAGATTTATTTCAATGCAGTGGAATTAGTGATTTGGGGGAGCTAGAGCAAACTAGCTGGAAACCACAGTAGGCTTGGGAGGGATTAAACTTGGGCAGGAGCTTGGGCTGCCCCAAGTGGGCTCTTACAACATGAACCTTCGTGCAGTCTTTTCAAGGGATTTTTTGCATTTTTACATTCATCGCTATGAAGCAGAGACGAATGTGGGACTGAAATTTTGACTTGAAATGAGGGAACTGAACATGTGCACTGGGACTTCTGTAGTTTCAAACTGTTACTTGATGCTTTAGTTTTGGAAATATTAAAGCCTTCTCCCTCTCCCAGCCCACTGGTTTCTGGCTCAGATCCAGCTCAGAGCTTGGACAGTTCTGGGCTTTGTCCTGTTGAACTTTGGGACCCTCCCAGGATGAGGAAGCAATCCTCTTCCCAGCCCATCCTGTTTTTGTTTTCTCTATTGCAAAGTTCAGCTCCAACGGAAATGCTGTATCTGAGCATGTCCTCCATATTGCCTCCTGTAAGTTCCCTGAGGGAACTTCCTTGCGATTATTCCACATCTATTTACAGACAAAGGAACTGTCCACCTATATGGCTTTTAGACCTTATTAGTGAAATGAAATATCATTGCATTTATGCATTATGCAATAATACATAATCATACTAGTAATAATACAATGCACAATGTGTTGCATTATGCAATGAAATATCATTGTTTTATCAGAGAATGTTCTTGGTAAGTTTTTATTAGTGTGTTTTATGCTGCTAAATTACACAAGACCCAGGAGGGAACAAAAGCTGCTGCCCCTGTTGGTTCAGCTGCTGCCCCTGTTGGTTTGGGGTACAGGGAACCAAATTGTGCTCATGGGTAGTTGGGCACTGGAGGAACCAGATCAGGGATTCATGTGGGCAAAACAAGCTTGCAATGAGCTACAAATGGGAAACTTCAACTGAACAGTTATTCCATACTCAGCTGCTTTCCCTCCTACAGGTTTTTGGAAAAGGGGCTCAAAGCACAAACTCTGCTTCGATCCGTCAGTGTGTTTCCTCCCTCTCAGCAGCAGCAGCTCCTGACTCCTTACCAGGATCCTGTCCCCTCTCAAACCTTTCAACTCCCTTTGAACTGTTGTTGCCTAAAATCAGCACTTAAAAGAAACTTCTAAGATACATTTTTTGAGTTTTAGCAGGCAGACATTTATCACGACACGCTGGAATGATTCCAGCACTCTGGGTGCCCTGGGAATCAGTTCCCAAAGTACACACAAAGGTATCTCCACTGCAGCTTCTCTGTTAGCATTACGTGATTATTCATTTTTCGTTCCCGCATTCCTGTTACATATTCATGACATTTCCCAACACTTGTTAGCATATATGCATATCCTTATAAGGGCTCTGAGGGCCTTCATTGGGAGTCTCTGGTGGTCATCTGTGTCTGGAGCCCCCAAAGTTCTGAGTCACTGCCTTATGAATTTGTTTAAGACAATACTCCTGGTTATTCATCAACCTGGCATTGCCTGCTCAGCTGTTTCAGTTCCCTTCTTCACTGTTTCCTCACCTTACTTGACTGGTTTCTTTAAACTGAGGGACAGTAATTTTCTATGGTACATTCTGCTGCAAAAACCGTTAGTTCTTATTACATCTCTGAACCCCAACATCACTGTGAGCAGTCAAACACTTGTATTTATTTAATATTTAAACTCCCTTTAAGCTTGTCTTTTTCTCTGTTTTCTCCTTTGTTTTGGCCTTTTTCCCTGTCTTTATCTTTTTTAATCTTTCTCCTTCCTCTCTCTTTCCCTCCCATCTCTTTTCATGTCCCCTCCCTCTGTCCTGTCTGCTGCCTCCTCTCCCGTGATGCCTCTTTAGCTCAGAACAAACCCTGCCCTGCCAGGGCTTCCCATAGTGCCTCTTGCCCCTGACACCTCAGGGGGTTGCAGAGGCCAAAATAGCTCTGGATGGGTAGATGGGATGTGGCAAATATGGTGAGAGTGCAGGGGGATTTGAGCACAATTCAGGGGTATTTGGGGATAATCCAGGATTATTTGGGGAAAGTTCAGAGGTATTTGAGGAGTGTTTAGGGTATTAGAGAATAAGTCATAGTATTTGGGGAGACTTAATGTATTTCCAGAGGATTCAGAGATGTTTGTGGAGAGTTCAGGGTATCTGGGGAGAATTCAGAAGGGTTTGGGAGAGTTCAAACATATTTGGGGAGAGTTTGGGGTATTTTAGAATAATTCAGAAGTATTTGGGAAAATTCAGGTATTTTTGGAGGATTCAGAGGTATTTGGGGGGGAATCAAAGGTATTGTGGAGGAAGCAGAAACGTTTGAGGAAGTTTCAGTTATTTTGGGAGAATTCAGAGATCTTGGGGAAAGGATCAGAGTTACTTTGGGAGGAATTCAGCCATATTTTGGGCTAATTGAGCTATTTTGGGATAGTCAGACACACATGGGTCTCTGTCTACCCTTCCCTCCCCACTCAGATTTGCCCCATGGGACCCCAACCCTTCTGTTCTACCCCAAACGTGCCACCAGTGTTTCCCCTGCCCATCCCTCGGAGCAGCTCTTTTAATGACATGGGGCAGCAGGAACCCCTCAGTGCAGCTCCATAAACCCCTACTGGCCCTGTCTGCGGCTCTTTGGGTGACATGGGGTGGCAGAGACCCCCTTGTGTGGGTCTTTCAGTCACAGCGCAGCTGCCAAGGAGGGTCTTGATACTCCCTTATCCTGGAGGCCATGGGATCAGGGGCCCAGGCAAAGCATCTTACAGGGCTTTAGCAGAAAGGCTGCAGCCGGGGGAGGGATGGAGTAAGGCACAGCAGGGAGGACCTTGTCCCTCTCAGCCCCATCGGTCAAGAGACATCCAGCAGCTCAGCACCTACTCTGCGCTCACCCCCCAAAGCCTGGGGGGGACACAGCCCCATTCTGGGGCTCAGAGCTGCTGCTGGGGCACCAGGGGGCCGGGGGATCCTTTAATCCCCCTCGTTCAGCTCCAAGCGCCTGAGGCCAAAGTTCTGGTTTCTGGGGCTGTCCCCCCAATTGGTTTGGGGCCTGCAAGGGCTCGCCTGATCCTGGCAGGGACACAGCCTTGAGGGAACATCAGGAACCCCCACCTGGCTCATGCACTTCCCTGGCCGGTCACTGTGCAGCACTGCAGATCCCACGGCTGGACCACGGCTCAGTTCCTGGGATGAAGAGTCGGCCGAGGCGGCGCCGCACGGACACGGGGTCTGCGTTCCACTCCCATCTGCTGATGTCCCCCGTCACTCCTCGCTCTTGGTCAAAGTGGTGTGGGTGAACACCTCAGCCGCTATAAAAGTGGTGGAGGCGGCCAGAGCCTCTTTGTGGCTGCGGTGCTGAGAAGGGTCCGGCAGGCTTGTCCTGCCCGGTGTCCTCTCCCCAGAGGCCACTGAGGGAGCAGCTGCCCATGGTCGTCTTCTTCCCAATGACCCCTCAGCATGCTCGGAAGGAGCCGGTGCCGCAGCAGCACTGGCTCGTCCCGGTTCTTCTCGGTTAGACTGATTTGGCTGCCCCATCACCAACAGCGTTACTGGTCAGGTGGGACCAGACCTGGAGTGACCTGGGCTGGTGGGAGGTTTATCTGCCCGGGGCAGGGGTTGGATGCCATGGGCTTCCAAGACCCATTCAACCCGAACTATTCTGGCACTGAAAAACAGACACAGTCAGTGGAGACAGGAAGAGTTGCCAGGGCATTCCTGGGAATCATGCAACCCCATTTCCACATTTCTCCAACAAAACTAAGGAATTCACTCTGTGTCCCTGGTCTCCCAACTGCCTTTCCCTTCTTAGATGCCACTTCTAACTCTGCGGCAAGTCAAAATATGGAGAATGGAAACAATGTGAGAAGAGGTCTGGGTGAGTATGGAGAGGTGGGGAGGTCTGTAGGGAGGGGAAGTGTCACCCCAGCAGGACTGGGCTAGCAAGTGTGAGGCTCCTCCAGGTGTCTGGAAGAGGCCTCGTGCTCTGCTCGGCCCCGTCAATGGCCAGTACCAACATCCCCAGCTGCCCCCGGCTCTGGGCAGCTCTGTTGCCACAGGCTGTGCCCTCACCTGTGTCCCTGGTTGTCCCCTCACACATGTCCTGTGTCCCTGGCTGTGTCCCTGGCTGTCCACTCACCTGTGTTCCCTCACCTGTGTCCCTGGCCCTTGGCTCTCTTGTTGCCAGCTGAGTGAGGGGCACATGGGCTGAGGGTCCCTCCCACTCCCATGGGCAGCTGGTGTTGGGTGGGGGCATGTGAGGGCTGGGACTGCTCAGGACAGCCCTGTCCTCATGGCCAGCAGCTTTTTCCTGCTCCAGGCAATAGGTTCATATTCCATCCAAGGCTCACCCATGAAATGGTTCTGTTCCTTCTCCTGACCCTGCCTTTGGCAGTGGCCGTGGTTGTGCTGGGAGGTAAGGGAGGAGCCTCAGCCCAGCCCTTCTGTACAGCGTGGAGTCCCTGCTCCTAGTGGAGGGGAATCCTCAGACCTTCTCCCTTTCTCTCTCTAGCAAGATGCAGTGGACAGGTTCCAGTTGTGCCTGCAGCTTCACAGTTGCTGTCCTGTCCCTGGGACTGGGTCAGGTACCGTGGGATCTGCTCCTGCCTCTCGACAGATATGGGGACCTGGGAGCAGGGCCAGGATTGGTGCTCCAAGCTTGGGGCCTCCCTGGCCGTGCTCAAGGATGAGGAAATGGTGAGTGAGGGGCTGTGGGGGGTGCGGGGCAACGGAGGGGAGGCTGGGGGGGTTCCTGAGTCGGGTAGAGCCCCGCAGCCCCCGGGGTCGGTGCTTGCAGGGCCAGGGGTGCAGTCCCGCTCTGGGGCCTTGCAGGGAAGGAGCCCCGGGTGGGTCCCCTCGAGGGGCTGGGGCAGCTCCCACTGCTGGCTCCACTCTTCCGTCCAGGGCCTCCTCTTCCTCCTCAGGGGTGACATCAATTACTGGCTCGGGCTGCGGAGACGGGGTGAGCAGCTGCAGTGGGGGGATGGCAGCAGCTACAACTCCTCGTGAGTCCTGGGGAGCCAGGCAGGGGCTGGGGGGACAGGGAGGGCCTGGGGGGGACAAGGCTACTGATACTGTCCCTCATGGGCAGTGCTTGTCTCCTGCTGCTGCTGGAGGGGACAGGGGGGACAACCTCTCCTGTGCCAGCTCTGTCTCTGCTCCTTGTTGCAGGGTCCCTGTCCTTGGCAATGGAGAGTGTGTGTACCTAGGTGATGGTAAACTCAGGAGTGGGAACTGCTCAAATCAACAGCCATATCTCTGCAGCAAACCCCAAGCTCACCTGGCACAGAGGTGATGGAGAAAGAACCTTCTCCATGCTGGGCACTCACAGCTCTTCCTCTTCCCCCAGTGAAGAGGAAAATAACATTTATTCTCCACTTCCCATCAGCAGCGATATCTGGCCACATCCTGGGAAGCAGGGCTTCAGCAGTGTATAACGGTTTCTTAGCAAGCAGCCATTGGAAACAACGAATGCCCCTCTTCCTGCTCCTTTCCTTACCTTTTATATCTGAACTGATGTCATATAATCTAGAATATCCCTTTGGTCAGTTTGGGTCAGGTGGCCTGGTTGTGTCCCCTCCCAGAATCTTGCTCTCGATTGGCAAAGGAATGTTACAGTGCTGATGCTGTGCCAGCCCCGCTTAGCAGTAGCCAAAACACTGCTGTATTATTAACGCCCTTCTAGCTACCATGCAAAGCAAAACACTGTGAGGGCTGCTATGGTGAAGTGAACAAGGCCTGAGCCAGGGTTGACCTTTAGATGAACCTTCCAACCTAATGTTATATTTAGCCATGTATCTGCTTATTAGCCAAAATTATGTATAATCATTAATAAAATACATACTATGATAAAAGTACACCTGTGTAAACATGTATGTTTGTTATTATAATATATTTCTATCTGAACATTTGTATCTGTTCATTAATGAAACATGAATGTATTTATCTTTCTGTATTTAGAGACCACCGGTCAAGGCCTTGGAAGTAGATATCTGGCCCTCTTTGGCAGTAGAGGGTCAAAACTAACTCCCTTGATTTTCTTCTGAGTCCTGGTCAGGCTTTGGGTGAAACCCAAGGAGACAAGTAAGCCAGATGTTTTTCTGCACTAAGTAGTGATGTAAGCTTGTTTGTTTAACAATATAAAAGCTGGACCCTTTCACAGCAAAGACAGAGACCTCACCTACGAGTGGACACACTGAGTAGGATTTCCCAGTTCCTGGGAGTGGTTCTCTGGCCCTTTGCTGGGATCGGGGCCTCCCCAGCTGATGTTACAGGTAATATATTAAAGGGGCAACTAGTGATGTATCTCTCTCTTAATCACTACAGTGATTACTACTTTGTAGTAATGATTAGATGCATTACTGAGCTTATTGTTTTGTAATTCCTTGCTTCTTTTGTAATTCTTTGCTGTTTTGCATAATAGTAAATTTGCACACTTGTTCTTTAAAGTTGGTGTCTGTCTGCCTTGTGCTGACACTCCTCCCCCGACAAAACAAATTGGTATCATTGGCTGGGATCTGAACAAAATGTTGCTTTTTAAATTTAAATGTGAGGGATCAGTCCCCTGGCATCATTGGCTCGGATCTGAACAAAATGTTGCTTTTTAAATTTAAATGTGAGGGATCAGTCCCATCCCACATTTTCCTCTGGGATGATGTTCCCTATAGTTCGCTGGCTCTTGAGTGGGCTAAGGGTCTCAGCCTCCTTCACAGCTGTCCCAGGCAGGGCTTGGGGAAGGGCCCGTGTCCCGTGAGTGCTGGAGGAGGTGGTGGGTGGCGGGACCCCTGGGCACAGACCTTCCTGGTCACAGAAACCCTGCGCCACCACCACACCCGCTCTTGGGCCGGGGCTGTTGGAAGGTGACGCTGCACAAGGACGCGCTGCTGGGGAACCGTGTGGCCCAGAATTGTGAGCCTGGGCCGAGGAAAGGCAACGGCTGAGGATCATCAGTCCCATCCCAGCCCAGCTGAGCTGTTCCTGCAGAACAGCCCTCATGGCCCTGTGGCGGTTTTCTCTTCCCAGCAGTGGTGATAGCTCCAACCCCATGCCAAGGGCTGTTCTCCAGGCTCACAGTTCAAGGCAGAAGCGTGTTGCTTTGGGGACAGAGTGTGTTGGCTAGGCAGGCTGGAGGAGGCAGGAGGAGGCTGGGCACGAGTGCTGGCATATATTATCTGAGCTGAGCTGATGTCTGTCACCACGTTACCTCTAGAATTACTCTGAAGCCCAGGAAGACTCAGGTCCCTTGGGAGGTGAGCATGGAACTTTTCCACACTCTTGAATCAAGTTCCCGTCCCAAACTCCGAACCAGCGTGAGGTGGAGGGGGGCACAGTTTGGGTTTTGCCCCATTCCCATGTTGCGCAGGAGCCGTGCTGATTCCAAGCCGCCGTCGCAGCACGAGCCGCAGCCCGTTGTGCCGCCCCGGCCCCGCCGCGACCCCGCGTCACAGCTGATGTCGCGTTCCGAGCGCCGCAGCTGCCACCACCACGGCCGCCGCCATTCGCGGACCCCGCGGCGCGACCGGCCTCGCCTCCCCGTCCCCGCAAGCGCCGCTTACGCACTGCTGCCGCTGCAGCATCGGTTTCGCCTCCGGAGCACTCCGAGAAGGACCCAGAATTTACAGATAAGCAAAAGACTCCTGACTTTCAGAACACGTGGTCGCGAGTGCGGGGGGTGAAGGGCACGCGGTAAACGTAGTAGCTTTGGAGGTTTTACCGGGTCTGTTTTCGTCTGACCGGGATCTGCGCGAGGGGGGAACGCAGCCGCCGCCGGACTCGGGGGGGGCTTCTGCACCGGAGGCGACCTGGTGGAGAAGGAGAAAAAGGAGGACACAGCTCCCCAGGAGACCTAGTCGGGCTGCGGCAGCTCGGACTTGGCAGGATGGGACGGCTGACAGAGGGACGGGAGGTTTTAGATTCTTCAGCGGGGGGTGGGGGGACGCGGTTGGCATGGTTGCCTCTACTATTCCAACGCGAAGACGAGAAGATAGTCTGGAGAGCGCAGGGGACGCGTGCCTCCACGAGCCGAGACTGCTAGCGAGGTCAGGATTATCGGTGCTGGGAAGGGCATATATTAACTGCACTATCGACGCTGGCAGCGCCCTGTTTCGTGCTGCGGGAGTTCCGATTGGGAAATTGCGAACAGCTTGCCAGCACAGTCAGTACGGCCAGCAACACAGAGGTAACGCTGCGAAAAACAGCGACCACGCAGCTATGGGCCGCTACATGTAGCCCTTTGAGTCACAAAAAAGCAGCTTTGCTAATCGGCAGGTCATCTGTTACTTTAAAAAGTGCTTTTTTGTTGCCAGGGGGAATGGATGCAGATTTGCCTCTCACGATTTCAAAACACTATTTCGTTTAATAGTGACCGATATGCAGTACACAATGTGGGGATAGAGGCAGAATCAATTTGCAAAGAAACAAGCTATTGCAAATTCGGCTGCAGAAACACGTAACCCTTTGCAAACCGTTACTGCAGATGCTTTGATGAGGCAAGGTAAACAAGTCTCTGACACGATGCAAGCCCGGAGAACGTGCCGCGCTGGGCTGCAGCAAATAACAGATAGCCGTGCACACCTCCAAATCTATTCCGGACACAAACACGCAGAGAATGCCCTTTACCCATATTAAACATCAAAAATGGGAGGCAAAAACAAAAATAGCAAACATTTTTAACAGCAGAACAGACGTCTCTGCCTCACAATGGCCCTTAAAACCCACTCAAACCTGTTTAGCAAGTATTCCTAAACTGACGTCGCCAAAGCAAAGTAGAGACATCATAGCCATCAACAACCTTGGCATTAACTGTTTCCATTAGTCCCACCGAAATCACTCATTCTGTAGAGCAGAGACTGCTTCAGTCAGGGGGAGAATCAGTGAACGGAAGATTTTTCCTAAAAGCTACTTTTTGGCAGCTAAATCCACAGGTAACCCAAGAAACAAATAGCTCTATATGGATGAAACAATGGCTACGGCATTTACAGCCATTAGTGGAGGAACAACTAAATACAGCCTCTCTTGTTAGCAGAAAGCCCTTCACAAAACTATCCATCTCTCGAGGCTGGGGGGAAATGGATTTTCGTGGTTTTTACCCGTCTTAGAGTGGGGGAAGAATAAAACTTTCAAAAAACAGAATTTTATAATTTTCTAGGTTAAAGAAAAGGTAAAAAAAACCCTCTTGCAAAACCTCTGCCTTCGCAAGAGAAAAGATATTACTCCTTACGTAATAGCAGTCATTTGTTGCTTGGCAACTAGATGGAGACAGATCCTGTCCCGAGGCAGAAAAAACCAAAATTTTCCTACTTACTTTTTGGTTAAGTTTTCCTGCCTACAGGATGTGGGGGAGGGAAATTAAGAAAATTTTTTTCTGATTCCTACGACATCCACGAATGAGAACTCTCAAAACAAAGGACCATGCTGAACAGTGAGGTCCGGTGAAGCAACAACGAGATTGCAGATTGTGGAGCGGGAGAAACCCAGACCTTGCAGAGAACAGGACAACTCATTACAGAAGTGAGTTCGTAGCACCGAAAACTGCCGTCTCCCTAAGTGACAGTTAGCAGCCAATCGCATGCTGCGGTCACACTTTTTGCCTTATAAGGAATGTTTTTCTCTTTGTGTTTGGTTATAAAATGGCTACGACCCCCAGTAAACTTGTCTCAGTTTCTCCCCACGCTAGGTCCGTGTCCTTAATGTCTTGCAGGTTCCCAGGTGTATTCATTGTTCCTGCAGAAACTCCTGGACTTTTTGTAAATGTTTTTTTAGATTGTGACCTTTGATTTGCTGGGACTGTGCTCAGGTTTGGATCCACTCTGCTGTTCAGACCTGTCTGTTCCTGCAGTTGCCCAGAACCAGCTGCTGTAATCCGACAACAGTTTTGCTTCTGAGCAGTTCTGGCCTTTGTATTTGTTTTGGAAGAACAATTCCAGAAGGAGCGGAGGATGCCAGAGCAGGAGATGCATCTCCCGGGTGTTCAGGCTTCCCTGGAGTCAGATAGCATTCATCCAGAAGCTGAGCTGTCACCCCGTGTGCTTCCCTGCTGAGGGAGCATTCCCCTCTCTGGATACCCCTGTCCATCCCAGGACAGTCTGTCTGGTTGTCCCTGAAGTGTCCTGGGTTGGGAATTGCTATTTTTTTATGGACTTATTCCTGGGAGAGCTCCCTGCCAGCCTCCCCTGGGAGACATATCCCAGAGAGAGAGGATGGTTGTACCCTTCCTCAGCTGCACCACAAGAGCCTGGCTCGCACTGTTCCTGTATTCTGTGAGATGGGTTTTAATTCCTGTTGTGAAGCGACTGCTTTTCTCTGGGCTTTGCTAAGCGAGGTCTCTGCTGACAGGAGGAACAGCTTGAGTTCCCTCTGCTCGTGGCATTGTCAGAAATGGATGGAGGTGGGTCATGGTCACACTGCTTTTGATGTTGAAGAATGCTGAGCCCAGCCTGACACGTCAATCCCAAAACCCAACATCCCAATCCAATTATCAATTGAAATTTATTTTCCCTATACTAATTGATTTGGTTTGCCAAAATTAATTCTGTGGGACAGAGTTGCATAAAGGCTCAATTCCAGCTCCGCAGTCCTTCAGACATGAATACCTGACCTTGTCTGGGGCTGGGATTGGATCCAGCTGCTCCCAGGATCCTCTGGGTAGTTTGGAAAGTCTGTCAGTCCTGCCTGCACCCTGTGATCCAACAGGAGGGGCTCTCTGATAACCCTTGTCCAAAGCTCCTCATGACACTTGGTCACTTTGTACGTTGTATGGAACAGGTGTATTCCGATGGGCCGAGTGTCCCTCAGGGTGTGTCACAGGGGTGGTAACCTTTCCCACCTGCAGCTGATGTTCAGGTCAGCAGGAGTGTGGGTGTCTCAATTCTTCTGTTTCTTGGAGACCAACCATGTTAACCATAATCTGTCCTTACAGAAACAGGTTTTGAGGATGGATCCTACCGAGGGTTTCAAAAGAACATGGGAAGTGCCCACAGGCTGCTCCTCACCCAGGGTGGGTGACAGGTGCTGAAGGAGCTGGGGTGCTCGGGGGATGAGGGAATGGGAGTACCAGGGATGCTGGGAATGCACAGGGTGCATCCGAGGTCCTGGGGTGCTGGGGAATGCACAGCATGGAGTACCATCTTGGGTGCTGCTCCCAGGTGCTACTGACTGAGTCCTCAGGATAAAACTGGGGACAGCTCCTGCTCTGGGAACAAGCTGTGAAATGGCTCCCATCCCACTGATCCTGCAGGCTCTTGGGTCCACCTCACATCCCTGGGAAGTTTTTGTTTGCAGGCAGCCCCACTTTTCGTTTTGACTTTCTGCTTTCTGTGCACTGCACCCACACACTGGGGTGCCCTGGGTTGTGCTGGGAGGCAGGGAAAGTAGTGGGGTCCTTCAAAAAGATGCCCCTGGGGAGAAATGGGGTAGAGGAGCTTGTACAGTTGTGCCAAGGAAGCAGGGA